ATCATTATGGATACGGATGATTAACTGATCACAATGTATAAAGGTGAGTGATGATCAATTTATGATGACCATGTCCAAAAATTACCAGTGCCGTCAGGTTTTTAGAACCTAAGTAACGGTAGCTGCGGCGTCGTTAATTCTCTTGCATGAAAAAAAGTTTTTCAAAATTAATTTAGTGATGCCGTGTAACTTCGACCATCGATCTGAGAGGAAGTCAAGTTATCGAAAATGTATAGAGGTCTTGTCTCAAGTGTTCACAACATTTCTTCTTTATAATCTACATAGAAGCTTTAGGCTCCACTCGCTCGTTGATACAGGTAAGTTTCACTTGATGGCTTGAGCTGAATTTTTCCGGGCGTTCCGTAACTTTCATACTTCTTTTTGCTCGAGATACTCGCCCGGTCGAGCAAAAATATGAAATGTGGCGGAAAGTTTCGGCAAGACCAAAACAGTAGAAGTCCTTATCGACTCTGTCAGGCAATTCGATGGATTTCGAGTTAGAGTTTTCTTCTAAAATATAAATTGTTACCCCACCACAGCCGCTGATCCACGAGCATCCAGCATCGTTCAGATAGAAAACCGAAACGACTTTTTACAATTAAAGACTTGAAAGACTTTAAGACTTTAACTAAGTTGAAAGACTTGTTTTGGCATGGGTTATCAATAAATTATATCTATATACGCCGATAAGAAGCATATTGTAAAATTTAATTAGAATACTATTTCTTATGTCTTATTTCAATAGGAAATGCACGAATGTTCACGTGGAAGTAGAAACAAATCCACTCCAAGTCATGGCGTTTAATGAAATTTTTAACTTAGAATTATTTAAACTGGAAGCCTTGCCCCTATCCGTTCTCTCAGCGCTGAATTCTCGCCAAAGACCTGGCTCAAAGTTTCCGGATTCGGAATCATGCTTTCCTTCGGGGAATTTTCAAGTGTCTGATACCCAGCGGTGTTATCGTGACGTACTGCCCGAGATGATGGCTACGAGTTTGAGCTGATTTACGGGGCCTTGTTTGTTCCGCTGCCTCTTTCCAATTGCACGGCTGCGTCGATATTTTTTTAATTTCATCGCTCACACTGAGCGCTTTTAAAGTTTAGACCGCATACGATTCTTTCTATAACTTCCGTGGAAATTATGTTTATTGAAATAAATTATGAATATTGTTTTGTAGATATTTTGATCACTCTAGTTGAAGACTAGTTCTTGATCAGTAACTGGGACTGGTCGCGACCGTTCTGTTTTAATTATTATAGTGATTTGTTGAATTCACCGCATGTGACTATATTTAAATCCCATTTCGTTCATAAAATTATCAGAGAATATGAACTTTTGATTGAAATAGTGACAAAATTTTTTTCTTCAATGTTATAGCCGTCTTGTATAAAAATTAAGGTTTAAGCTGCTTTGTGCAAGAGTTGTGAGCCAATCTGAGCAACTGCCTACGTTTTCATTAAGAGAGATTCATTTCGAATTTTTTTCGCCGTCAATTGCTAAGTTTTCTGCTCATATGACAAGCCAATGTATTTCTGACTTGCTTCCCTGATATTGGCTGATGAATGGCACAGGCTGATAGGACAGGCTCATGGATCGTCTACCTTATATTCTTTCCTGTATATGAGATCTAAGCTAATTAGAGCCTCAGCAGCTGAAAGTGATTACCCGTAAACATCGGCGCGCTCTGAAGCGACGTGCTGCCATTTTGCGCAAAATTCAGTACCGTCATGAGTGGATTTGCCGATTCATTGGATTTTTACTTATGGATAACACTACGCAAATGTGAGGAAACTGAACAACGAACGCATTGATCAGCATCAAAGTCAAAAGCTGTCGATGAACGTAAGATTTACTTTTTTTGTGCCATTTAATTGCGTGACGAGAGAGTACAAAATCTTCTGAAAAGTTAACTCGTGAAGTATAAATACGAGTAATTTGATACAAAAAATATGCGAATGTCATTCTTATATGATTTCATTAATATTGTGCACACGAAAATGCGAAGTAGGGACAATTGCACCAAACGTTTAATCGCAATCAGTCCGCTTCAATAAAAGAAACCTATTAGTGGGTGAGACATTCGATTTCCTTCCTTACATGCATCCAATTCTTATCCTGCTAGCTATTTACTATATATATATAATATATATATATATAGTATAGTTCCTTAAACAGAGTCATAGTCTTACTTTGGTAAAAGTTTTATTCTTATAATGACAATTCCTTCCTCTAATTCTAGGATGAACAAGCGGCAAGAAAAGCCATCACAGCAGCCAATTTCTAATTACATCACGAAGGAATGACATCAAAGACTGCAATAACCTTCTGTTCTCTCTAAAAAGAAACGCTACTATTAGCTTCGATATTGTACGGACTGATACATTCGATTATTGTCGATTCCCACTGTAATTGATAACATTGTCATTGTCGGATGGTCGTTATTGTACGTTGCCGCATTACTGAGACACACTACAGACAATTTGTTGATTTCATATACGTTTCTATTTTGAATTGAAAAACTACTGTCTGTCTTCAATAGAATATGAACATTAATGATGGCTAAGTAATAAAACTGATATCAGGAAAAAAATTCTGTTCAGGACTACGTAGAAATAAGTATGATGCCTACCGTCTTCTCCCAATTAATGTCCCTGCAACAGAAGAATGAAACTTGCCGGATGATCATTTTTGGCACTTCTTTGCTCTAGGCTGGACAAAAGTCTCCACATTAATGAAGCTTGTTTCTGTGTAACTTTTGCACCTGGCCGACCACAAGTCGGACAGAAAGCCTGTAGGAGAACTAATGTTCATTGGGAGAACATTGCCTGGTAAGAAGAGAACAACACTAAAGAGAGGACGGAAGCCTGGGAAGGTATTGGCTCGACATGATGAATGACGCGAGTGAAGCGCCTGACTCGACGGGTAATTGATTGAGCTTCTCGAGGAAGCGATGAGGTCGAGATCAGACTAGGCAATAAACACTGGCTACATTTTTGGACCGTCAAATATAAAAGTTTATTAAGCAACACAACGAATATCAATATATCATCATGCACATCAGCTTTATTGAACTAATATTTCTTGTATCATTATTTTATTGAAAATTTTAGTGAAGCATACAGTAATATCGTAACAGAAGAACATATATATTGATCTTTCATTAGGAAGGTTCAACGCAAGTCTTATGCTTACTTGAGCGAGTTTATGGAAAATTAGCGAGTTTGAGCTCTCCAGCAATTAATGTATTACATAGTCTTTTGATGAAAACTTAAGATATTGAATTCAGATTGCAATAAAATTATTAAAATTTTTATTGTAAAAACATTGCAATAATTTGCTGACATTGAATAAATGAAATTCAAATGGGTCAAAGTCTAAAAATTGCAAGCCACGTGCGTGGACAGGTCATAATTCGAAGTGCCTTGGCCAAAATCGATGTCCCATTCCGTTCTATTATAGATTGAAGATGTTTTAACTCAATTAAAAAATTTCAATGCTCTATGCAATATTATGTGACGTCTCTAGATTTTTGAAGTTAACTTGGACAACTGTTGTGCATGAATGGGGCACGTGCAGAGATTTTCCCTCAACCTCCTTACCTCACTTCGGAAAATAACATTAATCGTTCTCATGCATGTTAATTTAGATCGACTCCCGACCACGATCTCTCACACATTCCATCCAACGTATGGCGAACGAGCCAACCAAGACTCAGGCTAGCCTTCTGACATTCTTAAGAGTCTGATCCGATGTCAACTTATCATCCAGGTTTATTCGACTGCTCGGAGTGCCAACGGAGGATAATTGACAATATATAATATATCCTCTGAGGTATTGTAGCAACTAATTTAATTGTATCATTATCAGTGACGCGTAGATATTAGCACGCAAAGATAGATGATGACTACCAAACGATGTTCGTAGTAGTGATGTTTTATTGCAATCGCCTTTCATAATAATTTCATGAAGAATATCAGAAAGAACTCCTTGAAAATGTATTTTTTATGTTTTTTAAATGAAAAGGTATTTTTTATGTTTAAATATTTTTGTGAAGTATATGCTTTCAGTAGAATGTTTCTCGCTGGCAAAAATTTCCTTGTAACCTTGATTTTTTCTTGTCTCTTGAACTCGGAAATTGGTGGCAATTATAACCCGTGACAATGCTTGTAGGTATTCAAGAGTGAACCAATGACGGCTACGATTTAAACTGAAAATTTCCTTTTATTAGATTTCTGTTCATGCGCAAATGAGAGCCTGACCTCAGTACAGTCTAGAGGAAGCACGAATTACGAGTAATCACGGAACACATTATGAGAGAGAATCACTGCGCTTTTTTAAAATAATAATCTATTACGTCAAATCACTTAATGATTACCTTACTTAGCGACTTCGGAAATTAGACAGCATGTCTCCATGTCTATTTGATTGCCTCTTGATAATATTTACTTACGAATACAAGGATAGTATCATATCTCAATCACAAATAATGCTTTACATTGTTTTCTACTTAGAGGTTAATCTAATAGCCAACGCTACTAATCATAAAGCATTTGTAAAAAATCAATATCTTGCCAAAACATGCAGAAAGTAACGATTGCTGTTTCATCGCATTTACCTGCGAATGCCTTTAAAATTTCACATCACATGCCGGCAGCGCATAGCGCAAAAAAGTAAATTGAAGCAGCAGCTGTACAACTTTCAAGCAGATGGTTGACAAGGATTCTACAATAGAGTAAGTACAAGTCAATGATACATGCAGGATAAAGGGTTATTTCAGTGATGTGATCGTATCAAGTATTTTGACAGGCTCACAATTCATAATTGAAAGCAAAGGTTCTTCATATCTCATACAGGCTTACTAATTTGTGGAAAAGCTCTCCAGCAGTTGAAATAATTATTTGAAACCATATTCTCCTTCACACCGATGTGCATTTTACGTACAGTGAAAGATCCATCAAACCATTAGATATTTTAAACGGTGCGTTAGACTCGATGAAATCTACCACTCTTGGAGGAGGAGATTGAGCCATCCGTAAAGCACAGGATTGGAGCAGGCAGATGACATGCCTAACAAATGACAAATGGCGTACACCATCAACATGGCGTCCGTGTCATCGCCGAATGGGTTCGAGAAATCAGCAATTATGTTGTACATATTCAAAGGTAACCACGATAAGCAAAAGATAATCGCTATTGAAATAAGAAGAATATTGGTTTTCCTGTTACGAGTTTCGTCTTTTCGTGTCTTATTACCGTTTCGGACAACAGTTTTGGTCATACGGAATTTAAGTTTATGAACAATCCTGGCATAGGAGATGGTGACAGTGAGAAGAGGCACGAAGAACTGCACGAGCATCACGAAGACGCTGTAGTATCCTCGTCCGTGGTCTACAGGCCATTCTTCGAAGCAGAAGTTGACGGCGTCGAGACCTGGCAAGCCAATGTCGTGGTGTTGCAGCGTCCTGAAGAGGAACTGTGGCATCGCCAGCAACAGCGCGCACGCCCAAATGCCCGGTAAGGTCAGCAGCGCCCCCGAGGTGCCCAGCGCGCGACGCGTCGGGCGAAGAATCACCTGGGGGAATAGAAATATATCAATTAATGCGGATATTATGTTACAGAAAATAAGGTCGAGCCTTTCAAATTGCAGCATAGAATAATTTTAACTTCATGTATGCGAATATCTCTTCTTTTATGCTTTACTAGAAAATCGCTCTTATTTGGCAGGATAATTTTCTTTCTGAAATCACAATCTCTCTGAAGTTAGGCTTCACTTGAGTTAATATTTTAATCCTACACTACCATTCAAAGAATGGCATGTGAGTCTGATATGCCCGTTAAGAGCGCTTTTCAAGTAACCTAATAAATAAATTCCTTCGAAATTTGTTTCGCTTTCTAGCAAAAATCTTCAAAAATATTCAAAGCATCATTAAATATTTTACTGTAAATTTTTTTGCTGAAACTTCTCGTTTGGTTTCCTCCATAGTTTCATCGCCGTCGGGACAGGAATGTCTGTGTCTCATTCCTTGACTTTACGGCCTGGCGCCCCGCGTGCTGAGAAATTCCCCAGCGTCTTTCATGAACTCTAAAGCGGCCTGAATGCATTACGCTAAACCGCAAGCTTGTCTCCGCTCTGCTTTTTGTAATTCCTAGAAGAAGCTGTAGAAAATGCTTGAATTGAAGCGTTTATTTCGGTACACATCGCCATCAAGACCAGATGAATTTTATGGCCCATTTTTCTAAATATTTTAGATCAATTTTATACATGTTTCGTTAGATATATTATAATAAACTAGAACATATCCATCACTTATACGCGTATTATAATTCATTTTAGTACATGATAACTGGATAGTTATATCCAAGTACAATTTTGTATGGACATTTGTAGAGCTTCTTAGCCTCTTGATCCGCTGAACAACATCTCTGCTTTCAAATTTTTCTTGCGATTAATAATAAAAATTGGTAATTTCAGAGCATGTAAAGCTACATGCCACTTGAGACACCTTGATATTAGCTGTAAGTTTTAGTCACTCCAAAAATTTACATAGTTATAACTTTATTCCGCAAACGATTTTGAAGAAATTTGGAACTAAATTTCAAGTAAAGATGAATTATGACCATGAAAATCAGCAGTAAAAAAGTCGGTTTGACATAAAATTTTTAAACTGAAATATGAATTCCTGATACAAACTCAATTCGCGTTTACGTTTAAAATGCTGTAATAAATGGATTGAACCAAAATAATAGTTTAAAATAATCTAAATGGTAGTCATCTAGAAGCCTTTGTTCTTAATTGAACTTTGAAACCGATCTACACTTGTTTATCAAACTCAATACTGGAGTAGTGAGCGTATTCGTGAATCATGAGACAGGAGCTGTGGAAGAATATCATAAATCCCAGTTGGTGTTGTCCACTGAAGGGATCAGGTTACATCAACTGTAGTTGCCCACCCAGTGGGTACTGTGAGTGCGTTGCATCTGAGTTTGAAATGAATTCATTTAACTACCTGGTGAAGTTAAACACCTCATTATATAAGCCGTTTTGAGTGCATGCAACATGTGTTTCAGCAGAAAGTAAGAACACACGACACATTTTCTTCTTGCGGCTGAATAGTGAGAAGTCTTATGAAGAAGTATACCTCGGAAAATTTGTTCTTTGGCACAGACACATTGCTGTGACATTAGTGTTTATTTACGTTGTGACACATCAATGTGAAAGTTCATGAGTTTACATGGACCATATTTTTGGATGTCGTCTTTATTCGATTCGAAAGCAAAAATGTCGACCAGGATTCAACTTGCCAATCGTAAATGAAGCAGGGAAATGCGATCTTCTTCCAGAGGGTTAAAAAATAGTGTTCGATATATATACAGGACAGGTAGTTATTTCATGCCGCTCTTAGCAAGCATTAATCATTTAACGGTGTTTGAGTAGCCGCATTCGAGAGCTAAGGATAAAGTTGTTGCACTTCTAAGGCAGCGACGCGATAGGCTGTGAGCGTTTAGGCGGTCTCTGAAGTGGTCACGCGGTCTCTGAAGTGCTCCATAAACTTATCAACACCTCCTCAGTCTTTATTGCCCGATATGAGTGTCGCTGGGTCCTTGTGATGACACCATGCCAACTTGTTGGTCACGTTGCCAACTTGTTGGTCACGTTGCCAACTTGTTGGTCACGTTGCCAACTTGTTGGTCACGTTTCAATACAAATTTTGTTAAATTTAACGTTTAAAAGGAAAACCTCAGAATTTTGAAGCATCTTTGTTAGTCATCTCAACCAATATTCAGGGATTTTTCCAATATTTTCTTGTAACACACATTAAAGTTTTTTTGTAGTTCAGTCCCGCTTTTCATTTGACCGTTATAACTAGTTACAACTAGTTTATTAGTAGAAACCGCTCATATCTGCTACATTCTCTTAAATTTATGTAGGAGTAACACATGCCATATTTTTCTGTAGGCCACGGAAACGGCAGGTAAGTGGGCCATTAAAGGTACAAATTTGGTACCTTTACAATTGCGCAAGTGTCATTTGTACAGGTACAAATTGTACATGTACCTGTACAAATGTACTTGGTCTTGATGGCCGGTCATTTGTACTGGTGCCATTGCGCAAGTGTAATCTCTACCTGTACCAATTTGTACGTGTATCATTACTCGGAGGTCATTTCCTGTAATCTGTGCGGCGTGCCTCTCGGGCTCTATTCGACTGAACGAAGGGCTGAGCCGCCGTCATTTGTTTCACGGGAACTGCGTCTTTTCGCCATAAATTTCAGAAGCCCGCATTTCATTTGATACGAATATTATTTTAAACACGGTGTACCGGTTTAAGTTTAAAGCGTATTAGTTTCATAATGCAGAAATATGAAGTTTATCTCATGAAGTTCAACATCAGGGCTGCTAAGCACCTTAGATATAATTTTTTCTGAAGTTTTGCTGGCTCACCCGGCCCGTCCTATTCTTCTGCGCGCTTCAATTCGCGCTCAACAGTTCGACGTGACTGTCGCAGAGCGATTTTAAGATTCTGGGTGCCACTACTGGTGAGTAGGATTTATGTATTTTGAAATAACAATTAAGTTATTTTAGCAATTAAATTTTCATTTCTTTTATGTTGTTTATGCTTTTTCTTTTGAAAGTACTTATACATTTTCCTAATTTTTAACCGATGATGGAACTGGACTTTGAAACGTTTTCGATTACGAGATGGTTGTAAGGTTGTAAATTAAATTGTAGAAGGCACCGATTGAAAACATTCGACGAAAGAAATAGACCGGGTCTTAGACGAGTCGTTACGGAACATTCCTCCTGTGAGCCACCCATTTCACCATAACAATTACGCTTTCACTTACTTAGGTTCCTAGTTAACACACCCTGCCTTTATTGGTAAGATATTCGACTCAATCAATTCAAGTTAAGCAGTAAAATCTGCTGTGCATATCTGATATTCAGTAGCTATTGAGTGATGATATTAATTGCGAGGCCATTATCAACGTGCTTAAATGATTATAGTCTCAGTCAGTTCTGAAGTATTATCATTTTCAATGTGTAGGGTTCGCCACATGGACAATTGCTCATTCAGTGAATCAGGGTAGCGCTTTTAACCGTTGTGTCAAGAAATCGCCGATCCATCCGGAGGATAGTTAGAGTTCTCAGCCAATGGGCCAACTTGTTTGCGTCTTGTATTATCTATTAATGCATATATTTCCACTTCTCTTGTTTTAAGTACATTGTTGGTGTTCATTAATAATTGTAGTATCCGCGTGAGGGAAACGAACCCAATGAAGGAAAGCCTTCATTACTATGGCGAATTTACTTGGAAATTTTTTTGCTGTTAAATTCTCGATTAACCTGGTATTATTCAACCTAACTAAGTACTTATCTCATGAAGTTAGGACACTCATGAGCTCAATTATAATTTATTATCACTTATACACCTTGGCCAGCAATTTACATATTGCAATGCCTCATAAACATGCATATACTTCTCTAAGAACATTTATGTCGTCAAGAATACACTATTGCTTCATAGGTTTAATTGAGAATCATTACCACATTTCGTTCCCAATTCCGCGGAGGTAATCCAGCTTGACTTGTAATGCGCGTCTTCGATTACTTCCGACGAAGCTAATTCCTCTCGCTCTGGTCTCCTTATGCAAGGCCCTTAATTTGCCGCTCAACTAACATGAGCCGCTCGACTAAGCCTGATTCTGGTGTTAGGTTCTCTCGCAAGGTAACTCAACGGCAGGCAATGTATTCACTGCGCCGGTATGGTCGGTTGGCACGACAGACGGCAGACAATGTATTCACTGCGCCGGTATGGTCGGGTGGCACGACAGACGAGGCACGACAGACGGCAGGCAATGTATTCACTGCGCCGGTATGGTCGGGTGGCACGACCGCCGGCTGTCACCGAGGCTTTCGGTGAGGTCGTTAAAGAAAGACCACGGCAATAAAAACCAGTCGGCAGCTCAAGGTCGAACCCGATTGACATTATTTGTGATAAAAAACTCTTATACAGTGATTTTTCTTGCTTAAATACGGTAATTATTCTCAGTCATTGAAACTTATTGAATTTACTATACTGAAGCCTCAACTTCATCCCAGTTGAATTTGTTCAACACAAGAAATTGCAGAAATAAACAAATAGTGAATAAATTTTTTGTGGAATTAAAATCAAATATCGATGTCAATTGATGCTGTTTTATTTGAAAATGTTGCCGAGATCAGCTCTATTATCAGTTCTTTAACAATACAGGCATGATAATCAATAAAACTACCAAATTTACATGGTATATGGAAGAGATTAAAACCTTGCCTGTCATATAATGGGGCGGATCAATAATATAATAAGTATACTTGAAACTTTATCTGATCATAATTTTATTATAATTTGAGATTATAGCATACAATTGATGCAAAGTTCCGAACAAATTATATAAATTAAACCATGGCAGAATCCAAAAAAGTTAATAAACTATTTGCTATATGCTAAATCACACTTAATCTCTCATGACTTGAATTTTTAGATCCTAAAATCCCCCTGCATAATTTTTCCAATTGTTACCATGGTTGTGA